CATAGCTCTGTTATATTTTCTTGATCACTAGCTTCCTGCATGACTTCTTCGGCTTTATCTGAGGTTTGGTTCAACTGCCGCCCCAGTTCTCTGAGCTGCTGAGAATACCCTTCCTCTACCTGGTCCTTCCTTTCCAACTCCAACTTCAGGCACTTCAGTGAATTATTCGTCTCGTCTAGTTTTTCTTTTAGCAGACGAGCCTTTTCCTCGGATGAAGTCTTCTCGAGCTGGAGGGCACTGAGTTCATACTTCAGCTCCCTCATGTCTTTCTCGGCCTTCCTATTGGCGGCCATGAGCTCATCCACCTGCTGCTTGAGCTCCTCTGCTTTCTGTCTGTCTCGCTCTCCATGTGTCAGGGCACACGTGGGCACCGTGTTCTCCCGGCAGGAGTGCTGGATTTCAGTTATCTTTCTCCTTGCTTCCAGCTCGATTTTCTGCTTTTCTTTCAACTGTTTCTCGGCTATCTGTTTCTGAGACATCAGATCTCTCTCCATCTGCTTCATCCGCTTCAGGAGCTCTTCCTCACTGTCTCTCTTTCTTCTTAATTCTTCCATTAACTTATTTTTCTGTTGCTCCAAGTCACTGAGACTCGAGTCTTTCCTTTTTAGGTGATCCTCCAGGGTTCTTCTCGTGAAGGTGTTTTCCTCTAACTGGTTCCGGAAATTGCGGAGGTTTTCCTCCACGGCCTCCCTCTTGGCCTCGGCCTCCAGGGTCAGCCGCCGCACGCGCTCCAGCTCCCGCTCCGCTGCCTCCTTCTCCCGCACGATGGCCTCCAGTTCCCTGCGGCACCGCTTGGCTTCGCTCTCAGCCCTGATTTTCTGCAGAGCAATGTCTTCTACATTTCGCTGCTGCTTTCTCAATTCATTTTCTGCAGCCTCCTTGACCTTGGGAAGTTCTTCCTCTACTCGGGACTTTTGTTTCTTCAGCTCGGCTACCATGTACTCCAACTCACTGATCTTTCCTGTAAGTTTGCAATTCTCAATCATGGTTGCCTTCTGGCGTTGAAGCAGATCTGAATAGGCCCCATGTTCAGAATTCTCCTTACACCTCTTCATCTACGAGAGATGTTTAAAAGTGTCAAACCTGTTTTATTCCCATTTATCTTTAAAAATCTGAAGCAAGGCTCAGAGAAGTACTTACAGAAACAGGAAAACCCAAATGCAGAACAAGCACTATCACCACCATCACCACCATCACCACCACCAACTTCTTCTGAGAGGAAGCTTCAGGCAGGCAGCAAAAGGAGAAGACAAAACCCTTCTGTGGTTTTCTAAACCATTTTTGTTTGTTTGTTTTGGTCTCTCAGAAGTAATTTGGTTGTAAAAATTAGCTAGCTCCGGATTTCATAGCAAGAAGGGACCTTCCACAACACATAGCCTATAGATGAGGAAACTGAGGTACAGGGAGGTTAAATGAACTTGAAAAGTTCCACAACAGTACTTTTCTGCTCTCGCTCACAACTTAGTCTAAGCTAAGAATATACAACACACAGGAACCAAGTGACATCCAAGAATTTAGTTTTCAATATCTAGCCCAATGGAAATTTAAGATGATGTTTACATCCCTATTTCATGGTTAAAGAAACAAAATACAGAACTTTGGGACAGAGAGCCAAATCAAGAAATAAAATGTAACATGGGAAGAAAGAAAATTATACAGAAACTTGTCATTTCTAATGTCAAAATTTTTACTTGTTTATATTGCCATCTTATGACAATTACCATCAGAATTGCTAATGCAAAGGCAGCTACAGTCCCTGGTGGCTTTAGAAAATATGTGCTTCACATACTCACAGATTTTGTTGTTCTTGTTAATGACATGCCTCTTAGGAATCCACCTTGACAAGTACCTTTAGATACTCCGTAAATACAAAGATATTTGTTAAATAGAATGCTTGTTAAAATATTCTTAGGGACTCAGCTCTGTATAGAATAAAATGTAAGAAGATTTTTTTTACTCTGTTAATAACAGAATCAATCTCAACTGGGAGGAGTAGACTTTGCATTGACTACAGAACTACATGGTGAGAGCTAGTCCTTCATTACAATTTAATTTCTCTTTATTAACACCATAAGGTTGTTAGTTTCATATCATCAACCCAAAATCATAATTATAAACAGTTTAAACAAGAATAGAAAAATGATTCTAGAGAGCAGATTTTTTTTTTGTAAATTGAAAAGCTTTGGTGAATTTCAATAATTTAATTTACACTATAGACCATATATCTTATTTTGCTTCCTCTAATTTCTTGATTCCCAATAATTTTGACAAGAACTTCAGTTGTTTCCTTTGCTAACCTAAATATGGTTTAAATAAGAATTCATATAAAACAAAATCTCATAGCAGTCTGCAATACTAAATTTTCAATATTTATTGAGTTGTTGATTTCTAATATGGTATTTCGCAATTTCTTATCAACCCCTCTTTAAAACTTAGCTATTGCTAAGAAGTTTTGAGCCTTTTTTTCTTAGTTATGTTCTAAGGTTTGAAAAAAAAAAAGCTCTTGGGGAAAAAAAATGTTGAATCCTCTGTATCTTAATTAAAGTAACTGTACTGTTTAATAATATCGCATTGTCTAAATACTCTGAATTTTTTAGCAAATACTATAAAAATTACCAAAAATCATTCAGTCCTATTGCTGATTTGCTTTCCTGTAGATCTCAAACTTACTCATATAAAAATAACTCCCTCAGTTTTCTCTAACTTTTCCCGAAGGAGACATGCTGTCCTTTAATCTTAGCAATTAATCTTTAATATACAGTACTTTGCTCTAAATATAGACTAGAAAATCTCTTTATCCATCTAATACCCATTACAGATTCTCTACTTTCATTTCTAATTTGGTATTATCTTCTCAAATTAACTTGCATCCCTCTTTAATTCTAATGTTTATTATGAAAAGTTCTACTCTCAGACCAAGGTTTCCCATGTGGCTCCTCACAGACTTGGTTTCAGAAACACTACTCTTTGGAGTCTAAAAACTGAGCTATGTATCTTTTATAAAAGATATCCTTTGCATTCCACTAATATGATTCCTAAGTGGTAAATTTTATTCAGGAACTTTTAAAATCTATTTTACATACAGTCTTTGCATGGCCTATATTGTTTTGTCTTCAATTCACTATCATTCCTTTTCGTTTCAAAGGATGACAGGCATAATTTGTAAATATTCAGGCTTTGAAAAATACCATTTGATTCTATCAACTTTATTCTATCTCATCAGATAAATTGAGCAAAGTGGCTCACATATGTGCAATAAGAGACATACTATAAAAAAAGGCCTTAAATTATTTTATTTTAAACTATTAAAATATAATTTAAAAGACCCATATGCTATTTAAAATGGAATTGTATCCCTTAAAAAGTAAAAATATTAAAAATTATGGATGTTCTTCCATAAATGAGAGATGTATGCCAATTATTTGGATGGTCACAAATACTCTGATTCTCCTTTCTAAGCACAAAGAAAGCTAGTTATAAAGACGTGCAATTAGCTATGTTAGTGATTTAGTTGCAGAAAACTGTTAACATTGAACAGACTAAAATAGTTTACAAAAGCAGTGACATTTTTAGAAACTAGGAATGTAACAGCTATTAGACATGTACTGCTGTTTTGGTTCTCTCATTATATGAACAGTTATATTAAGTATAATTATCTTCAGAATTTTCAACAACAGTACAATTTAAAATGACTAATGCCCCACAATTTACTAATTTTAGCATTCAGTCTACTATTTTTGTCTGTTCTAAAGTTATGAATAGAAATCATACCAAGATAATAGAGCATAGCATAATCCCTTCAAAAGTATATATAATAGCCTTTTATGACAAGATATTTATAAAGAACTCTTTACTCTATTTGTGAATATATTTTTAAATGCAAAATCCAAGCTATAGAATTTCTCCAAATTAGAAAGGTACTTAAGTAGTCTTACTATATACCATATCTTTTTGGCAAATAAATAAATAAATAAATAAATAAATAAATACTGCGCAATTCTTAAAAAACTACTATCATTTTGTACAAGCACCTACTACTTCTAAATTAAAACTTTTATGTTTTATATCCTTGAAGATGTAAATTAATTTAAAATGCATAAAACAAATTTGTTTATACAGTATTTCTGCAGGCATTGTAACAGTAGTAACTATACTTCAAAGTATACTTCTCAACTGTGAGACAACTGAGAAAAATCCCACCAGTGTCAAAATTTCATAATTTAAATAGAACCATTTAAGACATTAATCCTATCATATTAGAGTCCTACAGCGGGGGGGAAAAAGTTCTATTTAGGAAAACCTTTAAAATGTTAAAAAAATCCTAGGCCTCTACTCTTGTACATTATAATTTTATAATTAAACAATTACCTACGTATCAGTTATCAACCATATAAATTTACCATGAAACCATTTTTGTTTTTCCAAACCATACTATATACTTCCTTTTTAGTTAGCTGTTCATACTTAATGGTTACCTCTTCCTCTTCCAGCCTCTTCAATGAATCACCAGCAAATTTAATATATTGTGTCATGAGCGTGAGCAGAGCAGTATATCGTGTTCGTAGGTCCATGAACTGCAATATGAAAAGAATAATAAAAACATAATCTCCAGATGCCCTACATGAGTTGAATAAACGTTAAGTAACAATTACAATATTAATTAGGCCTTTTGAAAGCAAAGTACACAACCCCCAGTAATAGAAACTGGAATGAGCTTATTACTGTTGTGCAAACCATACTAAATGGCAGTTTTCTTCTAACCCTCATCAAGAAGTACATTTATTATAATCTGCAATTAACAATTAATCCTGATTAAAGATTTTTATCAAGTGTAGTTTATAGGTAGAAACTTTCTTTTTGGAACATTGACAATTTTCTGGAAATGGTTAGTAGTCAAGGCTGCAGAATATTATGAGTGTACTGAATGCCACTGAATTGTGCATTTAAAAATGGTTAAAATGATAAAGTTTCCATGTATATATTATAATATAAATATATAAAATTTTTCAAGTACTGTTTCTCTCTTTTACACTCCCTCCCTTTTCTGCGGTACTTGTATTACCTCTTGGATGATGAGATCTGCGGAGCTCTGCATTCTCCGGCGTTTCACTGGAGACTTTTGTTGTGAATCTACCATGGCCCGGTAGGTCATTGTTTGTAATTCGTAGTCCTGGATAAAGGAGTCAATGAGATGAAATTAATTAAAGCAAAGAGCTAAAGCTTCCTAATGGATCTTAGTTTCACTGAATAACCTTAAAAGAAAATATCACAAAACAATACTTTTAGAAACCTACCCAATCCTCACATGTTCACACAGTGGTAATAAAATCAGAAACCTTTAGGGTGGTGAGGAAAGTTCCTAAGTCTCTTTAGAAACTCATGGAGACATTTAGTACAATACGCTAGATACACTCAGCCTCCCTCTCCTCTAGCTAGGCAATGGCAATGGGCATCTGGGTGGTTAAAGACGATATATTATTGAAGACTTCACAGTGCATGAGAACAGAAAACGTTATAGGTTCTTTAATGGGATACTCTAGCACTGTTAAAGAAAGGAGAGAGAAAGCCAGACCAAGGGTGAGAGAAGGAGAGAAAGAGGGAAGCAGGGAGGGA